AGAGGTGATTAAGAAAACAAAGATGAATAATAATAGTAATTGTAAATAAAGGTAATATGTATTAAGGATATGTACGAATAGATGATGGAAATGCAAGATAATATTATTATATGTTGATGGAAAAGGTGTTGAAACATTGAACTAAGATTTGTACTGGTGGAAAACAATAAAAATCTATTGTTAAAAAAAGAAAAGAAAATAATGGGATGTGCAGAAATGAGTAGATTAACATTAGCAATTAGAGAGCAAGAAGAAAAAACATTATTATAAGATCTGGATTTAGTTTATCAATGGCTAGATCGAAGAGTAAGAAATCGAAGGATATTGTAATAATAATGATACGTTATAATTGATTACATTTAAATAAGTGATAGTACGAATATAATTTAGTAAGAATTGAGTTTTGCTTTTAAAGGTAGCCCGGAAATGAAACCAACATTTAAAAAAATGGTATAATAACGAGATAATATGATGTGGAACGTTGATTAGAATATAATACGGATGTAAAGTTAAGAGAAAAGGATTGTAGATATTGTGCACATGATATATATATATATACACCAAACCGGCACGCTGTATAACTGAAAGATGGTTTTATTTGTTGCTTTTATATGTTATAAAAGTAAAAAAATAAATAAAAAAGAGAAAGAAACATAGATGCATAGAGCCGGAAGGGACCCCCAAAGGTCTTCTAGTCTGACCCCAGTTCAAAGCAGGAGACCTTATTATGCCAACCCGGTCCAATAGGGTAGAGGTCATTCTTGACTTACATACAGTTCGTGGAGTGACCGTTCAAAGTTACGCCGACCCTGGAAGAAAAAAGAAAGTGGCTCGGCCACTAGCTCACATTTATGACGGTTGCAACGTCCGGGGTGGGGTTGGGGGTGGGGGGGGTGGTGGGGGGAAGGGAGCCACGCCATCCCCCTTTTGCGACATTTGAACCAGCAAAGTCAAGGGGTGGTGGGGTGGGGTGGGAAGACGGATCTGCTTAACAACCGGGTGACTTGACTTTACCAAAGGCCCAGATTCGCTTAACGACGGTAGCAAGGAAGGTCGTAAAACTTGGGCCACGCTCCCTTAACGGATGCCTCCCTCAAAAACGAAGATTGTTGGGGGGGCTGAACAGGAATTCTGGGAGTTGAAATCTACCTGCCTCTATATCTCTATCTATAGCTACCTCTCTCTATATATATCTACCTACCTACCTACCTACCTACCTGCCTCTCTCTCTCTCTCTCTCTCTTTGGTGTCTTTTTCTGTAAAATCTTTAAAAAAGACTTTTGTTAAAAAAATATAATACGATATAAAAAGCTGGGAAACCCCCCCCCCCAGCTGTTTAATTCACCCCCTCCCCACACACACACACCCCACAAAAATAAAATCAGACTGCGAGACAACGCTGGTGGGTTTTCATTGATTTTTAATTATTCATTGCCAAAGGCGATAATATTTCTATGCAAAATACTCTCTTATATCTCCCCACCCCAGCCCAGCCCAGCCCCCACCCCTGCTTATCCTCAGTGCCCCCCCAAGAAACCACCCCAGCTAGTTCTTTTAATATTATTATTATTATTAATATTTTAATTTTTTTTTTTTAATTTGGCATTTTTTGCAAAGGGGAACGAACGAGCGACCCTCTTGTGCCTGACCGACTCCTCCTGATGCCCCCCCACCCAAATCCCCATCATCGGGGGGGGCGGGGCGGGGTGCACGGGGGGGTGGGGGTGGCATAGCGATCCTGTCCCTGGGTTGAAAGCCCTTGACACGTGTCAGTCAGCAGGGTGGATGGCTGCCATCTCTGGAGTGGGGTGCTGAGCATAAAAGGGGGGGGTTAGGGTCGAGACCCCCCACGAGTTCCCCCCCCCAAAATCAGGCCCAGCTTCTGGGGGCCCGGAAGCAGCCGTAGTTGCAGGACGGTGGGAGGGAGAGGGGGGGGTTGCCTTTGGAAATCAGGGTAATAAATAAATCTTTCTCTCTCTATACATATACATCTATATATTTGCCCCCCCCCCCGCTTCCCTAGGACAATGGTATCTCCCAGCCAGCTGCCTTCTCAGCCTGGAATCGGCCACTGGGGTTGGAGTGGGGGGGGGGAGGGCACCCAGAGCCATCTAGACCACCCCAAGCTGCCTCTTTGTTGTGCTCAGAAAAAAAAAATTCTCTTTCGTTCCCCCCCCACCCGCCTCCCTCTCTCTCTCTCTCTCTTCCCCGCCTTCAACCAGGTGAAAAAGGTCTACCTGGACGCGCGTAAAATAAACCAACGTTTGAAATTAAAAAATGAGGGGAGAGGGAGCAGGAGGGGGCGGAGTCGGCAGTGGGGTGGGAGGGGCTTGAATGCTTCCAAACCTCCCCCTTCCCCCCCCCCCCGCCTCCCATCCCATCCTCTTCATCGGCCATGTTGAAAAAAAATTGGATGGATCTCCTGCCTTCCGATAGAATTTTTTTTCCCCCTCCCCTCGTTCCTTGCAACAGCGAGGACTAGTAACCTGATTTTGTTTTCAGCATCTGTGGCATCAAAATAGCCCAGATAGATAGATACCGCAAAGGCAGAAACGTACCGACGATTAAGTTTCCCCCTGAAAACTCTCCCCGCTGTGTGTGTGTGTGTTTATTTATTTATTTCTTTTTTTTAATCCTGTAATTCACAATTTCTGCCCGCCCCGCCACAAACTCTCGGCCTTGTGAATTTGGGGGGTCTCTCGAATTTGGGGTCTTTCAAAGCAGTAAGGGTGGGAGAGAAAGGGGCATCGTTTCCCTAAAGCCACCTTCTTCCTCCTCCCAGTTTCTCTTCTTGTTTTTTTTTTTGCTTTTATGTACAAAAAAAAAAATTTAAAAATAAATAAGAATAATCCATTCCTTTTGGAAACGACCGTTTTCCAATGGAAAAAAATAATAATAATCAAAAAAAACCAAACAATTCTTCAAAGTAGATTTTTCTCCCCGTCCCACACACCCATTAAAAACGGTTTCTCCTTTATATATTAGTGTTTTTTTTTTGTCTGTTTGTTTGTTTTTCGTAACATCACGCACAGCCGCAACAAAAGACTTGATATGACCGCAAAAAAGAATCACAGGAATCACACAGAAAAAAAATAAAAATAAAAATATTTGTTGTTGTTAAATCTTTTTTTCTCTCTCTTTCTCTCCTCTCTTCTTCCCTTCCGCAGAAAGAAAAAAATAATATTAGGATGCTGAATGTAATAAAATTCCAATTCCCCCCAGGTTTTTTTTTTCGTCCTCTCTCAAATTCCTCAACGTGCTCAAGAGGAAATCAAAAATAGAGAGTCAAAAAAGGAAAAAAAAAAATTTCAAGTGCAAAAAAAAAAAAGAGAGAGCGTTTTTATCTATATATGTTTTGCATATATATGAATAAAATTTCCTATTTGGCTATTCTGTACAAGCACACCTTCTTCTTATCCAGTTCTTGTTTCGATTCAGCCTCAGCAACATTTAAAGACGGGTGGGCTTCAACTCCCGGAGTGGCCCTAATTCAAATCCTTTTTGATATATACGGTCCTCGTGGCCGTACTTACTCTCTTATAATCCCTTCCTCTCCAATCTTGATGCTCTAGGAGATAGGAGAATATAAACAGGGAGGGGCTACTTGGAAGAAGGTGAAAAGGATACCACCAGAGGGGATGTTTATAAAGAAAACGATGGACTTTATAGAGATGGGCAGCCTAACGCTGAAATTAAAAGACAAAGAAGATTCACTGGGATGAGTGGTTTAGAAATAAAAATAAAATAAAATGGCAATTGGGAAAAGAATGAGGACGTACGTAAATAGGTACATACGTTACAGAAAAGATTGAGGTGTAAGATGAAATATAATGATTTGCAATAAGAGTAAGATGCAATGGAATAAGTAACCGTATAATGAAAAATGTAAGGAAATGTAAACGAGGTCTTGATGCGGATAACGAGGCATGTAGTTTTATTTTATGTTTCTAAACTTTGGAAAATTAATAAAAGTATTTATTAAATACTTTAATTCCCGCTGCTGGGGAATTCTGGGAGTTGAAGTCTGCCCATCCGTAATGTTGCTGAGGTTGATGATACGCATTGTTTTAACGAACAATATTTCTTCACTCAAAAATCACGGAGGGAAAGAAGGAAACTAATTTTTCTTCCTTTCTGGAAGGGTTATTAAAAAGAAAAAGAAAAAACCACGACCCTGATATTTTAAAAAGAAAACGCTTTGGAGATGAAAGATTTGAACCCTTGGCAGAGGGTTTATTTTTTTTTCTTCCCCTCTCATCTTTTTCTCCCAATTGTTGTCTAAAGAAGAGGAAGAACATGAGAATCCAAATTCCCTTTGTATCACTTGACACCCTGGGAACTCGTCCAGAAGACATAAACAGATCGAAAGGATCTTCTGCTTGCAGAAAAAGAGAAAATGAAAAAGAATCCTTCCTTCCTTTCCTTCCTTCCTTCCTTCCCTCCTTCTTCCTTTCCTTTCCTTTCCTTTCCTTTCCTTTCCTTTCCTTTCCTTTCCTTTCCTTTCCATTCCTTTCCTTTTCTTTCCTTTCCTTTCCTTTCCTTCCTTCTTTCCTTCCTCTCTTTTCTCCCGATTCCTGACTCGCTTTCTGCTTGCTGAATAAAAGAGACCAGAATCTAAGGACCAGTTCCCTCTCTTTTTTTTCTCCCTCCCCCCCCCAAAATGACCGCATGCAAGTGCTAGCGCTGTTGGGGACTGGGGGGATTGGGGGGGGGAGGAAGGCCAGAAGCCCCTCTGTTGCGCTGCGGAAAGAAAATCGGGCGGGGAGAGGGGGCATCGCCACGCGAGTCGGACAAGAAGAAAGCGTACCGTCCTTTTCTCCCGCCCGTCTCCCCGTCCGAGTCTTAAAGAAGAGAAGAAGAAACTCAAAGTAAGGGCGTATCTCGAGGCGTTTGCCCACCCCCTCTATCCCCAAAAAGAGTGACCAACGGCTAAGTTCAAAGGGGTGGGGTGGGGGGCAAGAGGCAGGGGGCGCTCCTCTGCTCCAGAGGCAGCTCCGGCGATGCGGTTGCAGAGTTGACGGTTGGTTGGTGGAATTCAAAGGATCCCTTTTTTTCCCCCCTCCGAGGGAAATGGTTGAGTTCATCGCTCTAAAGTCTTTCACGAGCCGGAATCCAGATATAAGGACCAGAGAGTTCTTCGACGATTCTCTTGATCTTGTGGTAGACTTCCTCAAAGCTCTCTCCTTCTACGATGGCTGGAGGGGAGAGAAGAGAGGCAGAGCACCATGGGATTTAGAACTGGGAACGTCCGAACCATCGGATCCCGGTTTGGGGGGTAGAAGATTTAGAACTGGGAACGTCCGAACCATCGGATCCCAGTTGGGGGGGCAGAGGATTTGGAACTGGGAACGTCCGAACCATCGGATCCTGGTTGGGGGGGCAGAGGATTTGGAACTGGGAATGTCCGACCCATCGGATCCCAGTTTGAACAGCTGAAAATGGCCGAAAAACAGCACGAAAAGGCCCCAAAACAGCATGAAAAAGGCCTGAAAAACAGCGTGAAAACGGCACCAAAAACACCCTGAAAATGGCCCAAACAACAGCCTGAAAAAGGCCCGAAAAACAGACCGAAAATCGAGTGGGAGCAGGGCCAGCCAGTGGTAGGATTTGCTGGTTCGTCGAACGGCGCACAATCTTAACAACCGGTTCGCGCGAACTGGCGCGAATCGTCGGCAGCCCGCCTCTGGCACAGTTCATGTGGATTAGAAACTTGAGACGATCCATTATTATTATTATTTAAATGATGAAGCTACGGATTCGGGCCTACCTGAAAAGCATTCTGTAAACTCCTGCTCGAGTTTCGTAGCTCTGTCGAAGGCCTTCCGTGCCTGCTCCTCCGTTATCCGCTTGTTAATTTCTCTGAGGGACAGCAAAAGAGATTATTCAGCACATGGACAACCCCACAGAGGGTTGTTCCCTTGTTCGTTGCAAACCCCTCAGCTCTCTGCACATGGGCAGAGAACTCCACTGGGCTGGGGCTCCTCCTCCTCCTCCTCCCCGCTCTAATGTTCTGCGGTTGCTCAACGCCGAAGAGAAACTGCCCAGGGGGATAGACTACCCCTGAACGTGGAAGCCCCAGCTGTGTTTGGAGTCGTCTGTGAGCTGTTTGGGAGTGCTATTAACAGATAAATCAGAGTTGGAAGGGACCTTGTAGGTCATCTAGTCCAACCCCCTCCACCCAAGCGGGAGACCCTGCACCGTTTCTGACAAATGGCAGTCCAATCTCTTCTTGAAAGTCTCAAGTGATGGGAAGGGTAGTCCAGCCCATGTTGGAGAAGGGTGGAATTGGAGCAAGGAGGCGAGTTTCGGTCCCGGAGCTGACGGTCATTCAAGGGAGCGCCGGACTGTTCTTTTAACGGAGAAAAGACTGAACTTTCTTAACTAATGGAGACCTAGCCTAGACTGCCCCTAAACATGGAGGGTCCATTGATCAAAACTCCTTCTAGCCGAGGGTGGAGCCAGAACGGCTGGCTGACTTTCCCTGGCCTTGTGTCAGGGAGTTCCACAGCTCCATCCCTTGCAGTTGGGATTATTTTGCCTCCGCGGCTCTCTCCTGTCAGACCCCAACATTGGGGACGATAACAGATAATTGGACAGATGGACAGAGTTGGGAGGGAACTTGTAGGTCATCTAGTCCAACCCGAACAGTCCAACAGACCAGAAATAAAAGCTAAAATAAGCAAAAAAAAAAAAATAGTAAGAGAACACTTGTCTGATCTTGATGAAAACAAATCACCGGGGCCTGATGGATCACATCCAAGAGTTTTAAAGGAGCTGGCAGAGGTCATCTCAGAACCACTGCACCATATCTTTCAAAAATCTTGGAGCACCAGGGAGCTACCAGAGGACTGGAAAAGAGCTGATGTGGTTCCCATCTTCAAAAAAGGAAAAAAAAAAACAGACCCAGGAAACTACAGACCAATCAGCCTAACATCAATACCCAGGAAGATACTGGAAAAGATAATACAAAAAACAGATCTGCCAACATCTAGAAACAAGTAAAGTAACAACTAGCAGTCAGTACGGGTTTGTTAAGAACAGATCATGCCAAACCAATCTCATTTCATTCTTCAACGCAGCGACTAAATTAGTAGACCAGCAACAGACTGTGGACATAATATATTTAGATTTCAGCAAGGCATTCGACAAAGTAGACCACAGCCTACTTCTTAGTAAGCTAGAAAAAGGTGGAAGAGATAGCACCACCACTAGATGGACTCGCAACTGGCTGGCAAACCGTACTCAACGAGTAGTCCTTAATGGGTCTAGGTCTACACGGAGGGAAGGAAGCAGTGGGGTGCCACAAGGTTCCCTCTTAGGCCCAGGACTCCTCAATATCTTCATTAACGACTTAGAGGAGGGAATAGAAGGGGAATTTAGCAAATTTGCAGGTGATACTAAGCTGGCAGGAATAGCCAACACCCAAAAAGATAGGCTCAAGATCCAGAGGGATCTTGACAGACTAGAACCCTGGACTGTATCTAACAAAATGAAATTCAATGTAGAGAAAAGGAAAATCCTACACTTAGGCAAGAAAAAACCAAAAGTACCCATATAGACTGGGTGAAACCAGGCTCAATAGCAGGAACTGTGAGAGATCTTGGAGTCACAGTGGACAACCAGCTAAATAGGAGCCAGCTGTGTGCAGCAGCAGCCAAAAAAGCCAACGCAATCCTAAATTGCATTAACAGAGGGATACAGTCAAGATCAAGGGAAGTACTAATACCCCTCTGTAAAGCCTTAGTAAGGCCACACCTAGAGTCCTGCATCCAGTTTGGGTCACCACATTATAAAAAAGATGTTGAGACTCTAGAAAAAGTGCAGAGAAGAGCATCCAGGATGATGAGGGGACTGGAGGCTCAAACATACGACGAACGGTTGCAGGAACTGGGCCTGGCTGGTCTAGGGAAGAGAAGGACCAGGGGAGACAGGAGAGCAGCCTTCCAATATTTGAGGGGCTGCCACAGGGAGGAAGAAGAGGGTCAAGCTATTTTCCAAAGCACCCCAAGGCCAGACAAGGAATAATGGATGGAAACTGAACAAGGAGAGATTCAACCTGGAAATAAGGAGAAACTTTCTGACAGTGAGGACAATCAACCGATGGAACAGAAGTTGACTTCAGAAGTTGTGGGAGTTTCATCACTTGAGACCTTCAAGAAGAGACTGGACTACCATCTTGTCAGAAATAGTGTAGGGTCTCCCGCCTGGGCGGGGGGTTGGACTAGATGACCTACAAGGTCCCTTCCAACTCTGATTATCTGTTAACCCCTCTGCCCAAGCAGATAACAGAAAATTGGAGTCGGAAGGGACTCTGTAGGTCATCTAGTCCAACCCTCCGCCCAAGCAGGAGTAGCTACACCACTTCTGACAGAGGGCAGGCCAATCTCTTCTTGAAAGACTCCAGGGATGATGAAGCTCCCACAACCTCCATCAACAACAAGGTCCTTCATTAAGAGATTAGCAGATTAACAGAGCTGGAAGGGACCCCTGGAGGTCACTTAGTCCAACCCCCTGCCCAAACAGGAGACCCTAAACCGTTTCTGACAAAGCTTTCCCCCTAGCCCTCCTTGCTTGGCCAGAGACTCCCCCCAGCCCCCCCCCCCCCCCAAACCCTGGCCAGCACACATGTAAAGGTCCCCCCCGACCTCCCTGAGACCCCTACTCACAAAACATTCTCGAGGGAGCGGGGCCGGATGAAAATGGCGATGGGGTGAAGCTGAGCGGCTTGCAGCCTCCGGACGGCGTTGGCGGAAACGTCCAAAATGCAGTGCTTGCCCTGGGAATTGGGGGAGAACGATGGGTTCAGGAAAGCCCACCCCCCCGTAACCAGAGAGAGTTGGGGGGGTGGAAATTGAGGCCCCGATGGTGGATTACAATGGGGGGGACCCCTGAAACGCCCCCCCCTTAATTTTGCAATCTTTTTCTTTGTCTCTCCTTCCCTGCTCCCCCTCTTCTTTTTTCCCTCCCCATCTCTCTCTCTCTCCCTCTTTTTCTCTCTCTTTTTTCTCTCCCTCTTTCTCACCTATCTCCTTCTCTCTCTCTTTCTCTCCCTCTCTCTCTCTTTCTTTTCTCTCCCTCCCTTTCTCACCTATCTCCTTCTCTCTCTCTCTTTCTCTCACTGTCTCTCTCTTTCTTTTTCTCTCCCTCCCTTTCTCCACCTCTCTTCCTATCTCCTTCTCTCCCTGTCTCTTTCTCTCTCTCATTCTTTCTCTCTCCCCCTCTCTCTGTCCCTGCCTCTCTTTCCACCTTTTTTCTCTATATCCTGCCCTCTTTCTTTCTCTCCCTCTTTTTCTTTCTATCTCCTCTCCTCCCCTCTCTTCTTTCTCCCTCTCCTTCCCGCCCTCTCTCCGACCCTCTCTTCCACCTCTTTTTCTTTCTCTCTCTCGTTCTCTCTGTCCCCCTCTCTCTCCACCTCTTTTTTCTCTCTCTTTCTCTCCCTCCTCTCCTTCTCTCCCCATCTCTCTCTCTCCTTCTTTCTCTTTCTCCCCCTCCCTTTCTCCGCCTCTCTTCCTATCTCCTTCTCTCTCTCTCCTTCTCTCCCTGCCTCTTTCTCTGTCTCTCCCTGCCTCTCTCCACTTTTTCTCTCTATCCTTCCCTCTCTTTCTCACCCTCTTTTGTTCTCTCCTCTCTCTCCTTCTCTCCTCTTTCTCCCTCCCTCTCTTCCACCTCTCTTTTTCTCTCTCTCCTCCTCTCTCTCCCCCCACCTCTTTCTCCCTATATCTCTGCCTCTCTCACTCTTTCTCCCCCTCTGCCCTTCCTCTCTCCTCTCTCTTTCTCTCTTTCTCTCCCTGTCTCTCTTTCTCTCTCTCTCTCACGCTCCCCCGCTCTT